TTTTTTTTAATGATAATTATTATATATGAATGAAATGATTAATTTGAAGAATGATCAGAAACAAGCGGAAAGTGGTGGTGCGGAAGAGGATAAGAAAGAAGGTAAAAGTGATCAAAAATTGAGATAATATTATATATTATAGCTAAATGGCTGCTAATGGCTAATTAATTTATCAATAATTTGATCCTGAAAATTATTTGCTAACAATTTCAAAAACAAATTATCACTAAATTATCATTCTTACTTTCTTAATCTATCTCTTCAATTAAAAAAAAAATGATAATAAATATATTATTGGTGAAATTTTCAAATTGATATTTTAAGGAGAAAAATATACACTTAAAATTAATTCAAATTTTTTCCCATACTTCCATATTTAAAGGTGAAAGCAAAACTAAGGAAAATAATGGAAGTATGGGAAAAAATGTCGAAAATAAGAGTAAAAGAAATCGCAAGCAACGATCAGATAGTATTAAAAAAGAGGATAAAACAGCTGACAGTAAATAAAGTAAATTAAATTAACTTTTCTTTTTCTAAAAATTATATTTTAATTAATTTTTTCCCGTAAACTTTTATAGAAAAAATTTAATTAATGATTAAGTTTGTTTTTCTTTTTGTTATTATTGTTAATTTAAATGAATTACTACTAATTACTCATTATTCTACTGAATAATATAGTAGATAAGTAGGCATTTATCATTTAATATTATCATATCAGATTGAATAATAATATCAACTTCGTTTATTGGATATACATATATTCCCTTTATATACTTCGCATATTCATTCATCATCATATTTATTGGCAAAAACGAATGAGTGTATACGTACAACAATATCAACTGATCGACTGATCCGATTTTATCAATTTTATAATATCAATTTCATGTTTTCAACTTTAAAATTGTAAAATTATATGTTTCAAAATTATGCAACTTGGAATGATGAAATGATCATTTTAGTGATACATTAAAAAATATTTCGAAAATTTTTGAATGGGCATTAACTTTAATAATCTATTCATCTCATATTATTAATATAAATTTAAACTTAAATTAGAATGAACGCGAAATTAGAACGAATTTCAATTGATTTAATTAAGGTTTAATTAATTTTAATTAAGGTTTAACAGAAAAATTTTCCAAAATCTTAATTTTGATTCATTCTTTAAAAAATATTGAAATCAATAATAAAACAAAATTAAAGATTTTGCAAGCATGTAGCAAAATAATAATCAATTTGATAAGTATGTAAGCATACGATTGCCAAAGTTGAGTAGTAATAAAATTGATGACAAAGTTTAAATTTTAAAAAAAGAAATTAAACTTTAAGAAGAAAAAAATTAAAGGCATATTGTTAAAAAAAGAAAGAGAAAAATTTCAAAGATTATTTGTAAAATATTTGGCTGTTACTGTTGAACTATCTTTTGAGAAGAATGTTATATTTATGAATGAATCAAATTCTATGTATGCTTACATAATGCAATAAGGTCAATAAGGTCATTTCATTAAAGAGAAGATGTTTGAATCCCATTTTCATTCACTATCTAAAGAGGTCTAAATTTAAGCAAAAAAACGAACGGTCAGCAGCTTATTAAATTTTATCAAATTTTCAAATTATTTGTAAAATTGATATATTTGGGAAAAGTTTGTGAAGTCACTGAGAGAAAAGAATGAAAACAATTCAAATATAAACAAAACATAAATACATTAGAGTGAAAAAAAAAAGATCATAGCATTATATAATGCTATGCAACAAATTAGAAAAATTATTGGTTTATGAATATCAAAAAGATAGATAACTCTCTTTATCGTTATCCAATGGTCACTCAAATATGAAAAGAAGGACAGAGAACTTCCTCTACCATTATCCAACGGCCACTCAAATATCAAAAAGATGGGTAAATAACTCCATCTATTACTATCCAATGGTCACTCTACCTTAGCATAATTGAGGATAAATAAAATTTCATTTTCTAAAGCATATCATCTAACAATTGCAGCTAACTTATCTACTGTTTTTTGTTAATCATTTTTAGAGGAGTAGGAGAAATAAATGAAATTGATATATGTGAATTATTTCATAAGGTCGGTCATTCTCATTAACCAGTGGTCAGTTTGAAAAGTTCTTTTTTAACGTAATTAACAATCTTAGAGAAGTGACAATTTTTGATAATAGTAGCACTGTTCATTGCTCTTCATATTTTTTCCAGGTAGAATTCAACGAAGAAATGAGAGATAAATATCATCCAAAAAAAAAGGAAAACAAAACTTCAACAGGTAATTAATAGACCCAGGAAACTGGTATCCATTGTGGACAAGCATTAAGTTTCTCCACAACAAGTTCTAGCTGACGTATTGTCTCATCAATATCATTATTCAATATCACATAATCAAAAAGATGTCCAAATGCTTGCCGTAAAACTTCACTTTCTCGTAGCAAACGTTCCAAACTACCATCTGGCTGTAATAAATTTTTATTATTGCTTGCTATAAATTAAGACAAATGTGTAAATTTTAAAATTAAAAAAAAAAAACAATTTGACATAACGCATAATTTTCTGTAACTTGAAGAAGTTTAACAAGAATGCCTAAGTAATAATTATGCGACTAAAATAATAAACTTATTATAATAAAATTTCACAACAAAATAGTAAAATTATTATCATTAATGCAAAAAAAGTTTTTTTTTAATTTTTGAAAATTTACAAAAAGAAAAAAAACATACATCTTGTAAACCCTGCAAATTTGGTGCAGCGATAAAAACAACAAATGGAGCATACTCAGCTGTCCTGAGAACTTTTAGCGCCTAGAAAGTTTATTGGTAATTAATTAATGAATTGGATAGGATAGAAATACAACAAATAGTATAATGGAAAACAAATGATTAGGATAGAAATATAATAAATAATATAATAGAAAATTTTTAAGAATTACTTGAGGTTCAACATCCAAAATAGCCATTTTTCCTGTCCTATGAATATTTCGAATTGTTTCCAATTTAGTACCATACATGCATTCTTCGTGTGTTCCATACTCTAAATATTCATTTGCTTGAATATCAGTAAGCATTGAATCGTTTGATACGAAATAGTAATGCTTCCCATCAATTTCATCTTTTCGTGGTTGCCTCGTTGTATCTGTAATAAAGAAAAAAAAAAGATTTTAAATAAATTTAAAAAGCACTAGGAAGCTAATAATAATAAGTTATAAAAATTATTTCATTTATATAAGTTAAGCGAATGCTTCCTTCTTTCCCTCTTTCTCTCTCTTTCTCTTTCTCGTATATAAAGAGAAAATTCCTTTTTTTTGAAATAATTTCTCATTAATTAATATCAATCTTTATCAGATAATTTATCAAATATCAGATAATTTATTGAAAATTTTTATATTTGTAATTATTAAAAAATTCAAATACGTAATATACGACAGGCTTATTGAAAATTTTAACTTAACAATTTTTTTTTTAAACTTTAAAAACAATTATTAAAAGGTTCAAGAAACTTACGTGGTATAGGATAGGCAAACCTTTGTGGATGCCTATGAATAAGTGTATTTTTGATATGCCTTCGGCCAACACCATGAGCACCCAATAATACCAACGTTTTACGTCTATATGTTGCTAATCGTATCACCTTAAAAAAGAAAACAAAAAAATCACTTTTTTTCAAAGTTACAATTCTCAAACAAAAAATTTTCTTTAAACTTGAAAAATTTTTAATATATTAAATTAAAAATGAACAAAAATTAAGAATGTAAATAAAATAGCTAATACTAAACTAAAATGAAATGATAATTCACCACCTCTTCATAAGTGACAAGATCGAGTTGATCAAATAAAGCGGAATGTTTCTGAAGATACTTTGTTGTATAATATTTTTTCTTCTTATTAAACCACATACAATGCGCTAAATAAAAATTAATTATTAATATTTGATTAAAATTATAAAATTTCGATAATTTATCAAAAATATTAATTTTTGATAGTTCCCGCATAAAAAGCGCAACCAATTTAATTTTGTACAAAAAACGAAACGAAAAAAAGTTAAAAAACAATTCAGTTAAATAACTTTGAACATTTTACAATTCATTCTACAAAGTATGCAATCAATCATATCAGTGTTGGAATAGTCTAAAATTACAATGTCTACGAATTTATCGAATTATTAAATCTATTCATTATTACATTTAGGCATTTCATGCTAAAGACTAATTGATATATTTGATATGTTGATTGAATATATTTAATTGATATAATTGATATATTATTTCAAAATAATTTATACACATTGATGCTTTTTTTCAAAATATTTGTATCGAAGAATGATAGTTTTTGTTTTTCATTTAATAAAAGTTTGATGAATACGTTAAACTAACTATTATGTTTAGCACGTTCCATGGCTAAGCAAGCAGTTCGCCACTCTTGTAATTCTGGTGATGGTATTAAACCAGCAACTGAAGTACCTGGTGTATAGGTACCACTATTTCCGAGAGCTGGAAATTGAGAGATATATCGCGCTTGCCACCAATTATGATCATCTTTTGATATCACCTAAAACAAAATTCATCAACCGATAACAATTGTCAGCATAATTTTCTAAAAATTAGGCTAGTAATTATTTTAGTAAGAAATAAATACACATTAAGATCAACTAATAATTCCACATTTAATCATTACACATATTTCTATAAAAGTAATGTAAAATCTTGGAAATAATACCTAATCTGCAGAAGTTGAGAAGTAAACATACTTAAATAATCAATTAGCAATATCGAGTAACATTCTATACCTGAAGAATGTCGCCGGTTTTAAATGGAACACCAGCTTGTGGACATGGAATCAAATCGTCTTGCCCCGGGTCATAATCAAACTGCGCTCGGACAAATATTTCGCATGCTGGTGGAGCGCTACGATACGATGGAACAATTTTGAATGTTACAGCACCACGTGCATCACGTAGCAATCGTTGCAACATTTCAACACTTTGATTCAGCACACTGACACCATTAATTTCACGAATTTCATCACCAACATGAAGCGTTGCTATAATTCATCAATAAATCCATCTAATATTGCAAGCAAAAAAACAACTAAAAAATTATTTTGCAAGAAATTATATCATTAATTAGAAAAACATAAATTTCGAATTAAAATATTAAAAAAATTACAATATATGTCTTAGGCTGAATATTTAAAAAAAAATGTGTTATTATGAATTAGTAATTACGAAACAAAGGTGTGGAAAAACTACATCGCTGAATAGCTAAAAAAGAAAACTGAATTTCATTGCTTAAAAAGAGTGCATATTGAAATTAAAAAACCTTTAAAGCATATCATAGAGAGAACAACTTCTTTGAATTTCTTTTTAATTACTCTAAACTAATTGAATAATATTTTCTACTAATTCGATTTAAAATATTATTAATAATGTTAAGAAAAAAAACCCAATACCTTGCCGGTGTATCAATCCTCCATGCATAATTCTTGCCACTTGACATCGACCATCTTCCGTTACCTAATAATTAAGAAAAATTATTAATAATTGAAAACTAATAATTGAAAGAATTCGAAATAAGAAAGAATCGCAATGAAATTTTGTAATATGGAAATTCTTCAACATTATCCGATGAAAAGCATACCTTTAAAGTAATTCCCATTGGTTCTTCGGTATCCTTTTGAAATTGAACCAATCGTACTCTACTAACGGAATCCATCATTAAATCATCATCATCATCACGCAGGGGTTGTACAAATGATTGTGGTAGTTCATTTGATGTTGTAACAAATGAAGATGTAGCTGCGTGAGATGTTGGAGCTTGACGTATACCACCATTAAGGTATGAAAATGGTAAATGTGATGAAGTTGATGCCTATAAAATTCTGAACTAAATTTTTTTTTGAAATCACAAAATATAAATATATCTAACATTTGTCGTCACAATAAAGAAAGAAATTTTTCACTTCTGTAAAAATTTTCGAAACAAATGATAGTATTATTGATTGATATCATTCTTCGATATGTGTAACATTTGAAGAGTTGAATAAAAAAGTTTAATCGAATTCATCGGAATATTTTTAATATAAATTATTTGATATATGATGCTAAAGTTTTTCCGATTTAATACGTATTCGATATTTAATTCAGAATAAATTAATGATATGATAATAGAGTTTTTCAAATCATATAGATAATAAAATTTAATTAATATTTTTGTATATTTTTAATAGAAGATGAAAAACAAACATGAACGGATGACATTTGTGGAAGTATACTTTGTTGTTGATTAACTGCATTTGCATTATTTTCATTAGCATTACCCATTTCCATTGTCATACAATTACTACGAGAATTACCCTCATAGATTTCATGAATTATTACATCGTATGCTTGTAATAATGCCTGAAAAAAAAAGAACTAATTTAATTTCAACAAAAAAATTTCATCAACCTTTCTATAATATACCGATAGTTTACACCGATATATAAGCTCTATGTATACTGATAGTTTACACTGATATATAGATTCTATAATATACTGATAGTTTATATTGATATATGAGTTCTACAGTAGTGGTGATATACTGATGAGTTTTATACAGTGATTTATTATACTATAATTCCAACAACATGAATAAATTTTAATAATGAGCTGCCGTAAAATTAATTAAATGAAAAGAGAAATATTTCGGTTCAATAAAACTTCAAACCTGAATTTCTTGTGATTCAAGTAACTGTCGTAATTCTGTTGCTTCAGCTGATGATTTAAAGCATTCGCTGATTTGTGCGCATAACTGAGAAAAATATATTTCCATTATTTATTTGTTAAAAAAAAAGTTTTGCAAAGGCTGAAGAGTTTCAAAAAAGAGTTGTTTGAAGTAGATGAAAATTTCGAAATTAAATAAAACAGAACAAGTAAAAATTAAAAATAAAAAAAAGGCATAGTCCGCTAAATAATCAAACCTCTTTGGAATATTTAGCCAAATCATGCTCCAATACTAATGGTTGAATTGATAGATTTGATATTCGATCATAGAGCTGTAAAATTTTTATTAATAGTATTTTTATTTTATGCAATTATCATATAAGTTAAAATTAGCTTTTAATAATTAAATGTTAGAGTAAATGCTTATATTTAAATTAAAATTTTTGTTAGATAAAGAAGCAATAAGAAATCTATCAAATTTTATTTCATATACTAATTGCTTAGTAATTATTTCAATCAAATTTATCGAATCAGATTTCAATTTAAATTGAAAATGAAATAAACTTTATTTAAATTTTTTTTTAAATTCAGGAATTTCGCAATTTCATTATATATTCTTCAAATCAAAAATAGCAATTTATGTGCATCATAAATTAATCAAATATTTGAAAATCGTCTTTATTCAACAACAAAAGAAAAAGATGCCAGCTTATTCGAGAAATAGTTGACGAGAAATAGTTCATAGTTTATTGATTTCTTCCTATCCTTCCATTAAAAACAACAAATAAATCATATTTATATATTATAATAAAACAATCTATTGAATATTCGAAATGCTCAAAAGAAAAGAAATGGAATTTTGATGTAGAAAAATATTATCGATCCATTAATTTTTATGACTCATCTATTTATTTATTTATTTATTGAAAAATCCATCAATTTTCTCATTCATAATCAAATAAAATTATTGAAAAATTAACGATTAGAAGAATTTATAAACTAGACCGTAAAACAAATAGACTGAGATATACTAAATAAAATATTTCACTAATTTCAATATTCCAAAAAATTTATGAATGAAAAAAACATGGATCGAGAATTATCAGTATAAAATATTTCGCTAATTTTATTAAACTAAACTTGAAAAAATTTCAAGTTAATGATTACTATTTAAGTTTACCACACACATAGATCGATTTTCGTTTCTTTTATTTTTTCCTTCTTTTTCAAAAATAAAAAGGATAAAATATTGAAGGAAAAGAAGATGAAGGAATAGATAAGATTTCATCTTTATCACAAATTTCAAAAAAGTTTTACAATAAATTAAACTATCATAAACAATTTCCATTGAATAAACAAAAATCTAACTAATATTATTGAATTGAAATTCCAAATTAGCTTAAATTATAAATATAATTGGCATATATTGTAACATATTTAATTAATGTTTAATGTTAATTTTCTCAATGTTAACTTATCAACATTTATATATTCCATACAAAAAAATCATTCATTATTATTTGCTTATTCCATCATCATCCTTAAATTTTATTTAAATTATTCCATATATTTTTAATTATTCAAAATAATGATGGTATTATATTATAAGAAAGAAGGTAAACATGATATATCATTTATTCGTAATATTAAATTTATGTTTAAAATATTCATAGTCGATGATATATTTCGATTCCGTTTTAAATTCCTTCCATTAATTCATTCCACTTTCATTCCAATTTCATTTTCTTTTCTCTTAATCTCTTTCTTATTTCATTTGGAAATAACAAATAGTTATGATTAAGTTCAACTAGTAATTTAAAGAGTTCAACTAGTAAGATCAATCGATATAGGAGCTAATAAATTGATTATGAAGAGATTATTCATTATTATTGCAACACAAATTTCTCTCACTAATTGCAACTATAGAAAAAGGAAAAGGATACAAAGAAAGGAATAATATGAATGATCCAAATTAAAAGTAACAATAACAGAAATTAACATATAACTAAATCCATTCTAATTTATATCAATCACAAAAATACATTTTAAAATCTATTAGGGATAAGGAAAAGAATGGAAAGTTAAGTTTAATCAAAAATATCACATATAAATTCAAATAATTTAGTGTATTATTTCCATTTTAATAACAGGAACATGACAACATTTTGATAATAAAACAATGATAAATGGTCAATAAGATGGATAATAAATGGATGAATGCTGCTTTATTTGCCACACAAAAATTCATTTTCTAATAAAACCTTAAAAGAGATAGTGACAGTGAAAAAAAGAAGAAAAATAATAGCTTTTATGAGTGTGCTTCAGAAGATCGGGAAATTGATATTTGATAGATTTTCGTGGAAAAAATTGAAGAAAAAGAATTTTTGAAAGAATTGATTTATTTTTTTTTTTAATAAAAATTGCATTTTTTGATTTTGATTCGAAGAAAAATTACTGATAAATCAAACAGAATGATAAAATATATGAAATATCGATCCGGATAGAGCATGAAATAATTGATAATAACAGAAGAGGGATAAATCGATGAATGAAAAATGAAAATATCAGATGTTGTTCGGGGAAATATTCAGCAAGAATTTCTACGATTATCTTCAATTAATTACGATAGAGCGGAATAATTCAAACAGTTTGAATATTAACCATTTTAATTATTAATTAATCTAAGTTATGTTTATATAAGAAGAAAAACAACTAAAATATAGCGATAAATCTAAGCTATGCATTTGGTTATGAATATTTATTCATTCATATATATCAATTTGTTGAAGATATTATTTTCTTTTAAAGTAAAAAAAAAGTTTGGTAAAAGAGAATTACTTATAAATAATAAATAACTATAATTATAGTATGAAGTTATGATGAAAAAAACATCGGATGATAGAATGAAGAGAACTATTAAATTACATTTCAAATCTATGGTAATTTATTTCTTTTTTCTGGAAAACAACCGGAAATCTTTTCCGTTTCTGCTTAAATCAATATAATTTCATGCACAATCAAAATATAGCGATAAATTTAAATTGAAATTTTAATTTCATATACGATTGCAATTTCTTCCTGCTCAATTTCTGTTCTAAATATTACCAAAATATAATTTCTATTCATTCACATTTCTTAAAATATATACAAATTTTATCAAAATTAATTAAAATACCACTTAACATATATAATCAATTCAAATCATTTTTTCAGCATATCATATTTCACATTTATTTTATTTAAAGAATAATTTAAGAAAAATTTCGTCCGGAAATTTCCCTTGTAATTTTACCAATAAACGAATTATATAATTCGGTATGGTAGCATTTTCAAATTAAACGATATGCTTTACGGATGGATACTAATGAAAATTTACAAGCATTAATATCTTGTGATATCACAATTTATTAAACAATCTGTATAAAACTTTAGAACAAAGAAAAATAAATAACAACAAAAAACATTTATTGAATATATCCTCATGATGACGCCTAAGTTCTTTGTTCAACACCATTCTTATAAAAAATATTGAGAAAATTAAATCATCAGGAAAGCTGATAAATTAGAATGTTGAAATTTGGATTAATAAGAAAATTGCAGAAAATTTTTTGGTTATTTTCAAGCTTACTTGATAAATGAGCCAAATGTATGATGAGCTTGCTTGACAAATGAGCCAAATGTGATGGTTTGATAATAGAATAAGAAAAATGAAGAAATTCAAAATTACACTTCAATTAAAAAGAAAGCAATCAATGCCAAAAGACTTAAGCCTTTCATTTGGAAGAAACAAATAAAAAGCCTCAATCAGTAGTTATAAGACAAGAATTTAAAATATTTGAAATAGATATATATACATTAATAATTCCTGTTCAGAAGTTTTTTGTAATAAAAGAAAGAAACCATTTTATTAGGCCCATAAAAAATAAGGAACATTTTCTTCTATAATTCCTCAAAAAATCCTATAATTTTAATCAGCCCATTTTCTTCATCAGAATTTTCATCCCCATTTATTTCAAACATATTATAAAGATAAAGATAATAAAATTATTAAAAATAAAAGCTTTAAAATTTTCAATGATAACTATTTCCTAAGTGTTTGTATAGGAGAGAGTTATTATCTGTCTTCTATCAAAATTACCTTTTTCAAATTAATTAAAATAAAAGTTTTAAAATTTTCGATGATAACTATTCCCTAAATTTTCAAAATGTAACATAAATAATAGATTAAAAAAGTTTTTCACAATATTAAAAAAGAGGACAAAAAAAAAAAGGTCAAATATAAAGTAATTGCTCATATCTTTATCGTAACCTTTGAACCGAATTATTATCTATTTTTTACTTTCCAAAAAATATTAATAATTTTGAAGAAAAAAAAAGTAAAAACTGTCAACTGTTCTCAATCGATAAATTGCAATTTTATTTTATTATGTATACTTCAACAAATTGAAAATTTTCGAAAAAAAATTTAAATTTGAAAATTTCAAAAAAAAATCCCATCAAATTGAAAAAATTGTTTTTTCTAAAAAATTTTCTCAAAAAATTTCACTTTTCGTTTTTGTGAAATTAAACGACTAATCAATCAATAATTTGATAAAAGAATTTGTTTATGTTTTAATTCTTCATCTTATTTTATCTTATCGAATATCTTATCGTTATCTTATCGAAGAAAAACAATGGAAAGAAACGTGAAAAATTGATTGAAACAAAATAAACAGAATGAATCATTTGACGTTTTATAAAACGTCAAATGATTCATTCATGAAGTTTAAAATTTCACCATTCAAATTCCTAATAGTAGAAGGAAAAAGAAAATTTTTACCTTTTGATTAAGGGTTATAGTGGTGAACTCTTCCAAACAACAACTGTCATCATTCATCTCTTATCATCATTCGTCTGGAATGTTCGAAAAATATTTTCTTTCAAAAAAGAATAAAAGAAAGACAAAAGAAAAAAAATCCGCTTAATTTTCGATAGTCGTAGTATACAAATGTTTTAATTTCGTAGAAATTCACACGCGTGATAAATGATAGGTGATAAGCGAATGATAAGTGAAAAAGAATGAAAAAGTTGTAAACAAATAATAATTACATTAACGTTTGATGTAATTTTCAAAAAAGAATTAACGATTAGATGATGGTGATAGCCGGTTGGTTGATGATATGAATGCTGATAAAGAGAAGAAGATAAATATGAAAAATTGATAAATATGAAAGCAAATTTTAATGGATGAATGATAGAGAGATGAAGAGAAAACAATTGGTAAAATTTTACACTTCTGATAAAAGCTTACTGAAAGATAAAAAGAACCGATCATGTTGATTTTTGATAATGCCGCCATATTATTAATAGTATCCAAAAATTGATAAATATTATTGATCGGGCAGTGATTTTAAAATTCATAATGATAAAATCTTTTTTCACTTTATTTTTTTTTAACTACTTTATATTTTTTTCGAATTCATTTCTCTTAATAAATTAATTTAAATCATTCAATTAATTACCAAACATTCTCGAAATTTAATTTAAGTCTTATCCATTTTTGATTATTATCAAATTATCATACAAAACTTCATGCAACAATTTGCAGTTATAGAAAAAATTTTAAAAAAATTGCAAAAAGAGATTAAAATTTAAATTTTTTTAAATTGTATGATTATTATCACTCAAATTAAACATTTAATATGACAATGCAATGTAGCATTGTAATTTGTGCAACGATAATGATAATTTATGCAACTATTGAAGAAATTTTCTTTTTAATTTCAAAGATTAAAGTTTATATTTATTCAAAATAGGATTTAAATTCCAATTTTAAAAAGCGCTAATTATTTGAAATGATTTTATAATAGAATAATAAAAGAGAAAAGAAAATGTGACAATGCTAAAATTCATAGAAAAATGAGAGAATAAAGAAGGAAACAAAAAGTGAGAGAAAGAAAAAGTCCCCCCCCCCCTTCCCTCCCCCAAAAAAAAAGGAAAACTAAGTAAAATTTATTTTACGATCAAA